CCCCCCCCCCCGGTCTACACCAAAAACTGCCCAAGGGAACCGCGGCTCCACGCGGGGTGCTCCGTGCACATCCCTACGGCGAGACGTCGCTTCGTCGTCATCCCGCAGTGATAACAGTGATCGTGCGCCTCGATTTGTCTGTCCGTGCAAGAAAAGAAGAATCAATATTAAATACGTGTGTCGGTGTAATTAAGGGGTACAGATTAAATATTAAAATGGATTTTGTTATTGTTATAATACGCGTATTTGTTTTAACAGGATACCCGTGCCTTCCCGTGTGATGTCGACATAGTCATATGGGGCAATATATCTCCTGCTAAATTAAACATTGATAACATTGTTTCGTTTTCATGCGATATAACGCAACAATTGACACTCGCTCACGTTGCAGCCCCCACACACTCTGCATCACGATGTAATCTATGTAGATACAGACTAAGTAGAGCCAAGAGAACGATCATGAAGTAACGAGGGAATGGAACGAGAACTCAGGATACTGGAAACGCAATGACAGAGCTTGCTTGTTTTAAAATACGTTTTGGTGATATTTGTAATGGATTCTATAACCTAACACATGCTACAGCACCCACTGTGATCAGCAGACACATGGTACGGCAGTCTTACCACTAATACATCTATGCACCGGCCAATTTAAACCCATCCAGGAAAGAAGCAGACACCAAGGATTAATCTTCTTTGGTTCTTTCGGTAAAGTCACGTAGAATGAGAATAAAATAATAAATTGATAAAACAAAATAACACAATAATATTCTCACGACGTTTCGGCCACAACACAAGCGGCCTTCATCAAGGTATTATTGTGTTATTTTATTTTATCAATTTATTATTTTATTCTCATTCTATGTGACTTTACCGAAAGAACCAAAGAAGAAGCAGACACCAGTCAGATGTTAAAGTCGTGGACTATATTTGTGTAACTAATTGGTCAATGTCACCTTCACATATCGGTCTTTCCAAATAAAATATAATCAAAGTGTTGCCTATACGACCCATCAGCCGCACGGCCTTCTGGGAATGCGAAATTTCAGCAGCATTGATTTCAAGACAAGCAAAACTCTGGAGCAGTTTTGACATTCATTGCCTCATCAGCAGAGTTAGGCTTGCTTTAAACAATGCTGCAGGACTGGCAATGTTACAGGCGAAAAGGATATGAGAGAATGTTGTTCAATGTGGAGAGAGGGATACGTGGTGATATTGTCTGCTTATTTGTTTTGTTATTTAAATTCTCCAACAACGACGCAAGTCATTCTTTTAGTATGTGTACAAAAGGTACATTGTACTTTATAATGATGATGAATGAATTGCATTGGAACGACGAAGTCATCTATTTTAGGATTTTATTTTCAATAATTTACGTGGGCTTATCGCCAGCGTATCTCACGTAACTCAACAAACCTATTCTTGGGCACCCGTGATGTTATCTTCCCACAGTGCTGCCAACGTTCGTGGCTGGTGCTGGCGTCAACCATCTCCTCTGTAGCATTCAATCACGCCATAGCTCAAGCTGAAGGCTATAAAGTAAAGCGCCGTAATCTGCGCCCCTTCAACGGAGGAGGAACATAAAGAAGCCACGCCAAGCCTCTCCGAACGGCCTCTCGTCGTGACTGTTGAGCCACATCGATGGCATGCGGAAGAAGATTATATTTATATTGTTGGTTCTTTCGGTAAAGTCACGTAGAAGGGAAACAATAAAATCATAAATCAAAGGATATATTTCTTAAAATAATTTTAAATGAGAGCAATGTTAAAAAAGCGTTTTGTTGCTTCTCGCGCCTGGGTAAATTTGTATAACTGAGAGTTTAAACGTGGGGGTGTTAGGTGAAGGATACTTTGTATAACTGAGAGTTTAAACGGGGTGTGGGGTGTTAGGTGAAGGATATTTTGTATAACTGAGAGTTTAAACGGGGGAGTGGGGTGTTAGGTGAAGGATTCTTTGTATAACTGAGAGTTTAAACGAGGGGGTGTGGTGTTAGGTGAAGGATACTTTGTATAACTGAGAGTTTAAACGTGGGGGTGTTAGGTGAAGGATACTTTGTATAACTGAGAGTTTAAACGAGAGTGGGGTGTTAGGTGAAGGATACTTTGTATAACTGAGAGTTTAAACGAGAGTGGGGTGTTAGGTGAAGGATACTTTGTATAACTGAGAGTTTAAACGAGGGAGTGGGGTGTTAGGTGAAGGATACTTTGTATAACTGAGAGTTTAAACGTGGGGGTGTTAGGTGAAGGATACTTTGTATAACTGAGAGTTTAAACGAGGGAGTGGGGTGTTAGGTGAAGGATACTTTGTATAACTGAGAGTTTAAACGTGGGGGTGTTAGGTGAAGGATACTTTGTATAACTGAGAGTTTAAACGGGAGGGTGGGGTGTTAGGTGAAGGATACTTTGTATAACTGAGAGTTTAAACGGGAGGGTGGGGTGTTAGGTGAAGGATACTTTGTATAACTGAGAGTTTAAACGAGGGGGTGTGGTGTTAGGTGAAGGATACTTTGTATAACTGAGAGTTTAAACGGGGTGTGGGGTGTTAGGTAAAGGATACTTTGTATAACTGAGAGTTTAAACGTGGGGGTGTTAGGTGAAGGATACTTTGTGTAACTGAGAGTTTAAACGTGAGGGTGGGGTGTTAGGTGAAGGATATTGCATGATACAAGACCCAGGATAATCATATTGTGTGTTTTTTCTAATTAAGCTAATACAGATATTGTACCATTGATCGTTTAATGTTACTTATAGTTTATTTCCTGATAAAATATTCACGAAACATCAAACTGAATAATTAAAGTTGTAAATAAATGGCTACTCCGAAACAAAATGAACGGCTTGTATCAGAGGTTTTTTTGGAGTAAATTGCTGGCATAGTGATTGTACGATTTATAAGTAATCTCTAACTAAGTAATCTGTTAGAAAGTAATCTTTAAGTAAGTAATCTCTATGTGTAAGTGGGAGAACACTAAAACACAAACAAGTCAAATCAAGATGTGAAACAATTTACAAGCTGATTTCACGGTGATGACGATGATGCAGATGCAAACCGATAACTTCTAACTTGCTAAACAGATAACTTGTAACTTGCTAAGCGGTATTTGCTCGGTCTGGAAGAGAGGGAGAGAACGGGTGTATGGTGAACTTCGTTTTAACTATCCCAAGAACAAGAATCGGAAACGTAACAAAGCCTTTGCCATTGCAGCACCAACGCTTTGGAACAACAAACCTTGCTTACTCCCTTAGCATCGTAAATCTTCCTTAAAAAAATATTCTGAAGCAGAAGATTAGTGCTGGATACAGCCACATTTGCCAATGTGATTTGTAAATGTAATCCTTAACAATGTATTGAGAGTTCCATTTTAACGCACAATTGTTTTCTATTAAGGGACTGTGTGTTGTCTTGATGTGGTCTTGGAGTGTTTTTCTCTGTTGTTCTACTGCCTTTCCAAAGCGTGAGAATTGCTGATGCAATTTTAACTTCATACACATTATTTTTTTATTTACGGACCGTCACGGTGGCTATGAGATGTTAACTACCTCGCCTGGTATGCAGGAGGTCGGTGGTGGTCGATTCTGACCCTGACGCCTGCTGCTGCTGTATATTTTGTGTGTCTCTCTCTCTCCCCGTGGTCGCGTGGATTTTTTCTCCAGGTCCTCCGCTTCCCCCCCCTCCACACACATTTAGAAACATGCATTAAGATGTTTCAGATTCATTTGCTGCTTTAAATGTCCAAATGATGGGGCCACATTGTTTACATAGCAATAATTCGTGGCCAGGTCGCTTTTGAAAAATAAGTTAATTCCTCAGTGGGTTTTGCCTTGCAGGATGGGGATGGTTTCATTTTTTGTTGTTTGTGTTTTGGTGATTCGTTTTGTTTGTACTGTTTGTTGTTGTAACGTTCTTACCCGCCCCTCGTGGATATCTGTTAAAAAAGAGCTTCATACCTCAACAAATTCCTCCACTATAAATACTTATTCGGATTCTCATTCTTTCGCATCGTACGTAGCAAACCGTGCTCATGGGAAGCCCCGTTGACTACAGACGGCACAAAATGAGTTCAACACATGCACGTACACAGGAGAGGAGAACGGCCGAGTTCAACACATGCACATACACAGGAGAGGAGAACCGCTGAGTTCAACACATGCACATATACAGGAGAGCCGAACGGCCGAGTTCAACACATGCACATACACAGGAGAGCCGAACGGCCGAGTTCAACACATGCACATACACAGGAGAGCCGAACGGCCGAGTTCAACACATGCACATACACAGGAGAGGAGAACGGCTGAGTTCAACACATGCACATACACAGGAGAGCCGAACGGCTGAGTTCAACACATGCACATACACAGGAGAGGAGAACGGCCGAGTTCAACACATGCACATACACAGGAGAGCCGAACGGCCGAGTTCAACACATGCACATACACAGGCGAGCGGAAAGGCAGCAACAGCAACAACCACAAGCCGGTTGGCAAATTCGCGCCGAAGCTCGGTGCTCCTCTATATATGAAGGTGCTTCATCGGTTATCGACGAGTGTTTACCTGTAGGTGGGATAACCGGAGCACCTGTAAACAGCCCACACTTACGAGGGGGAAACACTCTATCCCATACAGAACGAACAGATGGAGTCTACGTACTGCTGTGTACCGCCTTCTCCTGGCAAATCTGAGTTATTGCTTACCCTCGACGTCGATGGGAAGGGAGTTTCACAACCGACTGTGCCGTGATCCACCAATCCTCGCTACCTCCGCAGTGCTGGATTAGAGGCAGGCGCCTGCATAGACGTCCGCTGCCTGGCAATTTCGCGGTGAGGATGATGATCGTCACATGCCTGACATTTTACATGATATCATACAATTTTGCGGCAACTCTAAAATATGACCGTGATATTTTAAAACGATACTCTTATATTTATTTAGAAAATTAGATTGGCAAAACCTATTTTAAAATCTCGTAATAGTTTTGCCCCACATTAATATATCCCGGTATTATCAAAGGCCAAGGTGGACAGTCAGCTAATTGCCTCCATTCAGATGCAAATTGCACTTTCGCCTGGCTCGACGGAGATGGGAAAAAAAAAAACTGTGCCACTGCGGGGTGAGAAAATTGGCGCTCGAGTTTGGACGCTCCAGGCCAGAGCGGGGAGACACAGCGAGCCGCGAGTTGACGGGGAAATCACCGCGGCCCGCTCTGTGCGGACGCACGTTGAGCGTCGTTGGCGCCACACGTATCGAACCGCTCTAATGGAAGGCGCGGCCTGCCACGGCTCCCGGCACAGCAGCGCAGCCGTGCCGACCGCTCTCAGCGCCCGCCGCCGCCGCCGCCTTCACCCCCCTGGCCTCACCCGCAGCCGCCTTGGCGTGAAGCCATCGTCCTCTCTGGCCAGGTGGGTTCGGCGCAGCGGCCTGGGCGGCTCGCAGTCAGAAGGTTACGGGGTTCAGATCCTGAACGGCGGTTGATTCAGGCACATCATCCCTCCCAGGGCCGATGATTATACATAAAATAAAAACATAGAGACAACCACATTTGTGGGGAAAAAAATCAACGGTGGTTTTCCCTATGGATACACACACTCTCTCAACCCGCCATAGGAACGTGGAATTTCCAAACTTGGCTCAGTGGTGTAAAGAGGAAATGAGCAGCGCCTTCATGCTCATTTCAGCATAAATTACTAGCTTAAGGCTTTTAGAAAAAAATATAGTAGTTTGCTTCAGTTACTATTATTATTAGCCAACGTTAACCCAATGATTTCAACCTCAAGCCAACGTTGGCCCAACGATTTCAACCACAAGCCAACGTTGACCCAACGTTGGCCCAATGATTTCAACCACAAGCCAACGTTGACCCAACGTTGGCCCAATGATTTCAACCTCTTTGACTGCATTGTTCAAGCAGAGGAGGTCTCGAGAGCTGATTCAAATGTCAGAGATGGTAAACCCCTTGTCGAGGTCTGCGAGTTCATGGAATCTGTTCTTTTGTTGTCGTGAAAAAAGAGACGTGCCTCTATTATTACTATTTATTATTGCAGAAAATAAAGAAATATATACTGCAGATTTTCTCGGTCGAGGTTGAGTGTTCTATTTGGCAACGAACCAACAGTATATAGGCACACAGAGTAAAGCAACGTCATGTTATTCTTAGCTCTTTCGGTAAAGTCACGTTGAAGGGAAACTATAAAATAATAAAATACATATGTAAAACAATAAAAATTCTCACGACGTTGCGACCATAACACAAACCGTCGAAACGTCGTGAGAATTTTTATTGTTTTATATATATTTAATATTTTATTGTTTCCCTTCAACGTGACTTTACCGAAAGAGCTAAGAATATGAATTACTGCAGTCACAAAAGCTTTAAATCAAAATTCAACGTCATGTTGTTTAAGCTGAATGTTTTAGTGCCTCTATTAACCCATTAACCGGCAAAGGGGCACATACTTATTATTATTATCTCAAAAAACATTTAAATGAGGATATAAAATGTGTTCGCGTGTGAATAATGTTATACCTCTTTGATATTTCTTTTACAGACCGGCAATCAACCACGATTGTCCACTAAGCCCTATTAACCGAGATGCTTACGAACGACGCACCACCACATCATAAAAGCTACCATACTGCCTCTACTTGACTACTGTGACATCGTGTATAAATCAGCCCCAAGTACTGTACTGAAGAAGCTTGATTCCATCTATCACTCGGCCTTAAGATTTGCATTGAACTGCCCATATAGGACTCACCACTGTGATCTCTACATTGGGTCAAACTTAACATCTCTTAATGTTCGACGGCTTGTGCACCAGATCTTATTTATTCACGATGTACTTACAAAAAATTCCGCAGACTACCTACTGAATCTCCTCTCTGTTTCGAAGAACAAGTTTGACCTCAGGTCTTCGCTCATTTACCAGCTTCACATTCCCTATTGCCGTACACAAACTGGAGGAAGGACCTTTGCTATTGATGCCCCCAGGGTCTGGAATGCTATTGCCAATAAACTGCAACTTGAATCGCTACCAATAAGATCTTCTATCAAAACTTCTCTAGAGGAGTTGTACACCCCTAGCTGCCACTGCTGTTCAGTGGTCTAAAATATGGCTCTAGGGTTTGGTGTTACATGTTATTTATGTAGTTTATTGTTAAAAATTCGGTCACAGTCCCTATGATCACTGTTACATTGCATTTATGGCTTTTATTTTGGTGATTTCGAAAACTTTTTTTTCGGTTTGGCCATGTTTTTGTTTATTGTAGTACGGAGTTAGACTGATGGCCTTAATCTTAGTTGAATTACTGCAGTCACGAAAGCTTTAAATCAAAATTTGTCTTGTGGTTGTTGTTGTTGTTTGACTTGCATCCCACTGGGATTTTTACACACAGCGTTGGTGTACGGTGCTTTTTCAGGAATATTTTGATGGTTTTTTTTAATGGATTTTCTGTTTTCACAGTCACGTAGTCACTTCAAGATGTTTTATTGTTCGTGTTTTTGTTTTTTGTTTGTTGCGGTTGCACCCGATTCAAGAGCCGAATGGCTCACAGGGCTATACCAAAATAAATGGAACTATGGAACTATCTGAGCCAAATCACAGTTAAAATCACAGTTAAAATCACAGTTAAAATCACAGTTAAAATCACAGTTAAAATCACAGTTAAACTCGTCCAAGAATGGCTCGCGGTTGGCTCTGTTCGAGTTGATTGGTGAGCTTCGTGCACCGCTCGTCCGTGCCTCGGGCTGCCGGTCACTGTTCACGCGAGCACCGCCACCAACAAAAATAGACAAAACCCCCCGTGTAGCCTTAACACACCGTAGGGGCAAGTGCTGTTATCGAGCACCGATGAAGGCCGGTAAGGCACACGAGGGGGTGTGTGGCCAACACCACGCCCGGCCGCCTTTGTCTCCCCAGTGGTGCCGTTTGCACATCTCACCAGGTACTCATTTGAGGCTGAGTCGACCTAGGGGAGGCCCAGGACCGGTTCAGATAATCGTCACCGGTGTTGGCCGTGAGCGGGAATCGAACCTGGGTCGCTGGGTTCGTAGCACAGCGTAGCGCTAACCGCTGCACCACCGCTCCCCAGCACCACCACCAACAGTCACCATCACCTCGCCATTCATCATCAGATGGGACTCACTCAAACAAACCAGCACGCATGTTCCACTTCACTTAACCACCACACTCACACAATCACATAAATACGACAGCATTCACCACATCACTCAGACAATGGCAAATACACCACACCACTCACCCAATCAGCTATGCAGCAATCACTACGTCACATATACATCACACCACACATATCACACCACTCACTGCATCACACCACTCACTACACCACACACACCACACCACTCACTACATCACATATACACCACACCACTCACTACATCACACCACTCACTATATCACATATACATCACACCACTCATCAACACCACACCACTCACTACACCACACCACTCACTACATCACACCACTCACTACATCACACCACTCACTACATCACATATACATCACACCACTCACTACACCACACCACTCACTACATCACACCACTCACTACATCACACCACTCACTACATCACACCACTCACTACATCACATATACATCACACCAGTCACTACACCACACCACTCACTACATTACACACATCACACCACTCACTACATCACACCACTCACTACATCACACACATCACACCACTCACTACATCACACACATCACACCACTCACTATATCACACCACTCACTATATCACACCACTCACTACATCACACCACTCACTACATCATACACATCACACCACTCAGTGCATCACACCACTCACTACATCACACACATCATACCACTCACTACATCACACACATCACACCACTCACTGCATCACACCACTCACTACATCACACACATCACACCACTCACTACATCACACACATCACACCACTCACTGCATCACACCACTCACTACATCACACACATCATACCACTCACTACATCACACACATCACACCACTCACTGCATCACACCACTCACTACATCACACACATCACACCACTCACTACATCACACACATCACACCACTCACTACATCACACCACTCACTATATCACACCACTCACTACATCACACACATCACACCACTCACTGCATCACACCACTCACTACATCACACACATCACACCACTCACTACATCACACACATCACACCACTCACTGCATCACACCACTCACTACATCACACACATCATACCACTCACTACATCACACACATCACACCACTCACTGCATCACACCACTCACTACATCACACACATCACACCACTCACTACATCACACACATCACACCACTCACTACATCACACCACTCACTATATCACACCACTCACTACATCACACACATCACACCACTCACTACATCACACCACTCACTATATCACACCACTCACTACATCACACACATCACACCACTCACTACATCACACCACTCTCTACATCACACACACCACACCACTCACTACATCACACACATCACACCACTCACTGCATCACACCACTCACTACATCACATATACATCACACCACTCACTGCATCATACCACTCACTACATCACATACACACCACTCACTGCATCACATACACACCACTCACCACACCACTCAACACACCACTCACCACACCACTCACCACCCCACTCACCACACCACTCACACGACCACGAATGCGCCACGCCACTCACTGCACGACCGCGACTCACAGCAGCCGCGCACCATCACGAACCACTCCGTGAAGCGTTGGACGGACAACGCGGCACGCACTGACCACACCATCACGAACCACTCACACAACGCCACCGTCACGATACACCACCACCACCACCACCGTCACTATACACCACCACCTTTACTATACACCACCACCACCTTTACTATACACCACCACCACCACTATACACCACCACTATACACCACCACCACCTTTACTATACACCACCACCACCTTTACTATACACCACCACCACCACTATACACCACCACCACCTTTACTATACACCACCACCTTTACTATACACCACCACCTTTACTATACACCACCACCTTTACTATACACCACCACCACCACTATACACCACCACCACCTTTACTATACACCACCACCACCTTTACTATACACCACCACCACTATACACCACCACCACCTTTACTATACACCACCACCACCTTTACTATACACCACCACCACCTTTACTATACACCACCACCTTTACTATACACCACCACCACCTTTACTATACACCACCACCTTTACTATACACCACCACCACCTTTACTATACACCACCACCTTTACTATACACCACCACCACCTTTACTATACCCCACCACCACCACCTTTACTATACACAACCACCACGAATTAATGCCCTGCACGGACATAGTACTCGTTCACCTGAGACTCACCTGAGACTCACTCACCTGAGACTCACCTGGGACTCACTCACCTGAGACTCACCTGAGACTCACTCACCTGAGACTCACCTGAGACTCAGTCACCTGAGACTCACTCACCTGAGACTCACCTGAGACTCACCTGAGACTCACTCACCTGAGACTCACCTGAGACTCACTCACCTGAGACTGACCTGAGACTCACCTGAGACTCACTCACCTGAGACTCACTCACCTGAGACTCACCTGAGACTCACTCACCTGAGACTCACCTGAGACTCAATAACCTGAGATTCACCTGAGACTCACTCACCTGTGAGTCACCTGGGACTCACTCACCTGAGACTCACCTGAGACTCACCTGAGACTCACACACCTGTGAGTCACCTGAGACTCACACACCTGAGACTCACTCACCTGAGACTCACATGAGACTCACTCACCTGAGACTCACCTGAGACTCACCTGAGACTCACACACCTGTGAGTCACCTGAGACTCACACACCTGAGACTCACTCACCTGAGACTCACATGAGACTCACTCACCTGAGACTCACTCACCTGAGACTCACCTGGGACTCACTCACCTGGGACTCACACACCTGAGACTCACTCACCTGAGACTCACCTGGGACTCACACACCTGGGACTCACACACTTGAGACTCACTCACCTGAAACTCACCTGGGACTCACTCACCTGGGACTCACTCACCTGAGACTCACCTGGGACTCACACACCTGGGACTCACACACCTGAGACTCACTCACCTGAGACTCACCTGGGACTCACCTGAGACTCACTCACCTGAGACTCACTCACCTGGGACTCACCTGGGACCACTCACCTGAGACTCACTCACCTGAGACTCACCTGAGACTCACTCACCTGAGACTCACTCACCTGAGACTCATTCACCTGAGACTCACTCATTACTGACACCACTAATTCACATCATCCACTGCGCCGAATGTCCACATCGCCAACTTCACCCCCCGCCCCATCACTCCTGAGTCCCTCCACTCATTCCCCCCACACCCGCCAGACATTCACCGCTTGCTCCACGTGCACCCCAACCACTTATTGCCCACGCTCATCCGCCACGCCTCCTACAATCCCAGCACGTCGCCCCCTTCGCCCTCTCTCGAGAGCGCGTTTCTATTTCCCACGCTTCTCCTCGTTCGCACGCGGAGCGCCATTCCCCTCCTGTCGCCCAATCCCCGCTTTTCTCCCAGTTACTCAACAATCCCGCGCGCCGTTTCGCTCCACACATCACAGCGACTGCCCTCCCACCGCTCACCATCTCAAACTCTCGCCCGCAACCCCACGGCCACTCACTCAGAATCATCGGCGGCTGCCAACCCAAACGTCGTGGATGCCCGCTGCCAGTCCGTTACCTGCTCACCCGCCACCGCTGTCCCCCGACGCGCCGGGCTGCAGCCTCGGCCCAACAAGCGAGGGCCACCCGAGCAGGAGGGATGGGGCTTCAGAGGCACCCCGAGCCGCCACCACCACCCCCGCACAGCAGCAGCAGCAGCAGCCGCGAGTGTTCAAGCTTAATGCACTCTGGCGTCAAGCGTAAGGCAACTGTTGACTTCAAAGACATCGTCACCCCCCTCCCCTCTCTCCCTCTCGGGCCCTCCCCACTGCTCCTCCCTCCACCCCCCACCTCCATCTCCTGCACGCTCCCCTCCACCTCTCTCTCTCCCACACCCCCCCACTACTCCCTCCATCTCCTGCACGCTCCCCGCTCCTCTCCCTCGCTCAGCTCGTGGTGAGCGGGAAGGGAGCCCGTGCGTTCTTCCGCTGTCAGGCAAACAAAAAAAACCTCCCCAGCCTCGGCGAGAGTCATGTGCAATGTCCAGAACACTTCGATGTGCTGTGTGCGACAGCTCACAATCACCGACGGTGGCACCTTCCGTGGTGGGCGTTGTTGTGGTTGTTGTTGTTGAACAATCACCTGCACAAATTGAGTTTCACCTCGCCCCCACTCTCCCCACGCGGTTGTGTGCTCCAAAAACTCAGTGGCTATAGGGTCAGAGAGCACGTGCCATTGTTGTGTCGTGTTTGTGTCATTGTTGTGTCGGGCACGTGCCATTGTTGTGTCGTTTTTGTGTCGTTGTTGTGTCGTGTTTGTGTCATTGTTGTGTCGTGTTTGTGTCATTGTTGTGTCGTGTTTGTGTCATTGTTGTGTCGTGTTTGTGTCATTGTTGTGTCGTGTTTGTGTCATTGTTGTGTCGTGTTTGTGTCATTGTTGTGTCGTGTTTGTGTCATTGTTGTGTCGTGCACGTGTCATTGTTGTGTCGTGTTTGTGTCATTGTTGTGTCGTGCACGTGTCATTGTTGTGTCGTGTTTGTGTCATTGTTGGTCGTGTTTGTGTCATTGTTGTGTCGTGTTTGTGTCATTGTTGTGTCGTGTTTGTGTCATTGTTGTGTCGTGTTTGTGTCATTGTTGTGTCGCGTTTGTGTCATTGTTGTGTCGTGTTTGTGTCATTGTTGTGTCGTGTTTGTGTCATTGTTGTGTCGTGCACGTGTCATTGTTGTGTCGTGTTTGTGTCATTGTTGTGTCGTGTTTGTGTCATTGTTGTGTCGTGTTTGTGTCATTGTTGTGTCGTGTTTGTGTCATTGTTGTGTCGCGTTTGTGTCATTGTTGTGTCGTGTTTGTGTCATTGTTGTGTCGTGTTTGTGTCATTGTTGTGTCGTGCACGTGTCATTGTTGTGTCGTGTTTGTGTCATTGTTGTGTCGTGTTTGTGTCATTGTTGTGTCGTGTTTGTGTCATTGTTGTGTCGTGTTTGTGTCATTGTTGTGTCGTGTTTGTGTCATTGTTGTGTCGTGTTTGTGTCATTGTTGTGTCGTGTTTGTGTCATTGTTGTGTCGTGCACGTGTCATTGTTGTGTCGTGTTTGTGTCATTGTTGTGTCGTGTTTGTGTCATTGTTGTGTCGTGCACGTGTCATTGTTGTGTCGTGTTTGTGTCATTGTTGTGTCGTGTTTGTGTCATTGTTGTGTTGTTTGTGTCATTGTTGTGTCGTGCACGTGTCATTGTTGTGTCGTTTTGTGTCATTGTTGTGTCGTGTTTGTGTCATTGTTGTGTCGTGTTTGTGTCATTGTTGTGTCGTGCACGTGTCATTGTTGTGTCGTGTTTGTGTCATTGTTGTGTCGTGTTTGTGTCATTGGTGTGTCGTGCACGTGTCATTGTTGTGTCGTGTTTGTGTCATTGTTGTGTCGTGTTTGTGTCATTGTTGTGTCGTGCACGTGTCATTGTTGTGTCGTGTTTGTGTCATTGTTGTGTCGTGTTTGTGTCATTGTTGTGTCGTGTTTGTGTCATTGTTGTGTCGTGTTTGTGTCATTGTTGTGTCGTGTTTGTGTCATTGTTGTGTCGTGTTTGTGTCATTGTTGTGTCGTGCACGTGTCATTGTTGTGTCGTGTTTGTGTCATTGTTGTGTCGTGTTTGTGTCATTGTTGTGTCGTGTTTGTGTCATTGTTGTGTCGTGCACGTGCCATTGTTGTGTCGTGCTTGTGTCATTGTTGTGTCGTGTTTGTGTCATTGTTGTGTAGTGCACGTGTCATTGTTGTGTCGTGTTTGTGTCATTGTTGTGTCGTGTTTGTGTCATTGTTGTGTCGTGTTTGTGTCATTGTTGTGTCGTGTTTGTGTCATTGTTGTGTCGTGCACGTGTCATTGTTGTGTCGTGTTTGTGTCATTGTTGTGTCGTGTTTGTGTCATTGTTGTGTCGTGTTTGTGTCATTGTTTTGTCGTGCACGTGCCATTGTTGTGTCGTGCTTGTGTCATTGTTGTGTCGTGTTTGTGTCATTGTTGTGCAGTGCACGTGTCATTGTTGTGTCGTGTTTGTGTCATTGTTGTGTCGTGCACGTGCCATTGTTGTGTCGTGCTTGTGTCATTGTTGTGTCGTGTTTGTGTCATTGTTGTGTAGTGCACGTGTCATTGTTGTGTCGTGTTTGTGTCATTGTTGTGTCGTGTTTGTGTCATTGTTGTGTCGTGTTTGTGCCATTGTTGTGTCGTGTTTGTGTCATTGTTGTGTCGTGTTTGTGTCATTGTTGTGTCGTGTTTGTGTCATTGTTGTGTCGTGCACGTGTCATTGTTGTGTCGTGTTTGTGTCATTGTTGTGTCGTGATTGTGTCATTGTTGTGTCGTGTTTGTGTCATTGTTGTGTCGTATTTGTGTCATTGTTGTGTCGTGTTTGTGTCATTGTTGTGTCGTGTTTGTGTCATTGTTGTGTCGTGTTTGTGTCATTGTTGTGTCGTGCACGTGTCATTGTTGTGTCGTGTTTGTGTCATTGTTGTGTCGTGCACGTGTCATTGTTGTGTGGTGTTTGTGTTATTGTTGTGTCGTGTTTGTGTCATTGTTGTGTCGTGTTTGTGTCATTGTTTTGTCGTGCACGTGCCATTGTTGTGTCGTGCTTGTGTCATTGTTGTGTCGTGTTTGTGTCATTGTTGTGTAGTGCACGTGTCATTGTTGTGTCGTGTTTGTGTCATTGTTGTGTCGTGCACGTGCCATTGTTGTGTCGTGCTTGTGTCATTGTTGTGTCGTGTTTGTGTCATTGTTGTGTAGTGCACGTGTCATTGTTGTGTCGTGTTTGTGTCATTGTTGTGTCGTGTTTGTGTCATTGTTGTGTCGTGTTTGTGCCATTGTTGTGTCGTGTTTGTGTCATTGTTGTGTCGTGTTTGTGTCATTGTTGTGTCGTGCACGTGTCATTGTTGTGTCGTGTTTGTGTCATTGTTGTGTCGTGATTGTGTCATTGTTGTGTCGTGTTTGTGTCATTGTTGTGTCGTGTTTGTGTCATTGTTGTGTCGTGTTTGTGTCATTGTTGTGTCGTGTTTGTGTCATTGTTGTGTCGTGTTTGTGTCATTGTTGTGTCGTGCACGTGTCATTGTTGTGTCGTGTTTGTGTCATTGTTGTGTCGTGTTTGTGTCATTGTTGTGTCGTGCACATGTCATTATTGTGTCGTGTTTGTGTCATTGTTGTGTCGTGTTTGTGTCATTGTTGTGTCGTGCACGTGTCATTGTTGTGTCGTGTTTGTGTCATTGTTGTGGCGTGTTTGTGTCATTGTTGTGTCGTGTTTGTGTCATTGTTGTGTCGTGTTTGTGTCATTGTTGTGTCGTACTTGTGTCATTGTTGTGTCGTGTTTGTGTCATTGTTGTGTCGTGTTTGTGTCATTGTTGTGTCGTGTTTGTGTCATTGTTGTGTCATTGTTATGTCGTGCACGTGTCATTGTTGTGTCGTGTTTGTGTCATTGTTGTGTCGTGTTTGTGTCATTGTTGTGTCGTGTTTGTGTCATTGTTGTGTCGTGTTTGTGTCATTGTTGTGTCGTGTTTGTGTTATTGTTGTGTCGTGTTTGTGTCATTGTTGTGTCGTGTTTCTGTCATTGTTGTGTCGTGTTTGTGTCATTGTTGTGTCGTGTTTGTGTCATTGTTGTGTCGTGTTTGTGTCATTGTTGTGTCGTGTTTGTGTCATTGTTGTGTAGTGCACGTGTCATTGTTGTGTCGTGTTTGTGTCATTGTTGTATGGTGTTTGTGTCATTGTTGTGTCGTGCACGTGTCATTGTTGTGTCGTGTTTGTGTCATTGTTGTGTCGTGTTTGTGTCATTGTTGTGTCGTGTTTGTGTCATTGTTGTGTCGTGTTTGTGTCATTGTTGTGTCGTGTTTGTGTCATTGTTGTGTCGTGCACGTGTCATTGTTGTGTCGTGTTTGTGTCATTGTTGTGTCGTGTTTGTGTCATTGTTGTGTTGTTTGTGTCATTGTTTTGTCGTGCACGTGTCATTGTTGTGTCGTTTTGTGTCATTGTTGTGTCGTGTTTGTGTCATTGTTGTGTCGTGTTTGTGTCATTGTTGTGTCGTGCACGTGTCATTATTGTGTCGTGTTTGTGTCATTGTTGTGTCGTGTTTGTGTCATTGTTGTGTCGTGCACGTGTCATTGTTGTGTCGTGTTTGTGTCATTGTTGTGTCGTGTTTGTGTCATTGTTGTGTCGTGCACGTGTCATTGTTGTGTCGTGTTTGTGTCATTGTTGTGTCGTGTTTGTGTCATTGTTGTGTCGTGCACGTGTCATTGTTGTGTCGTGTTTGTGTCATTGTTGTGTCGTGCACGTGTCATTGTTGTGTCGTGTTTGTGTCATTGTTGTGTCGTGTTTGTGTCATTGTTGTGTCGTGTTTGTGTCATTGTTGTGTCGTGTTTGTGCCATTGTTGTGTCGTGTTTGTGTCATTATTGTGTCGTGTTTGTGTCATTGTTGTGTCGTGTTTGTGTCATTGTTGTGTCGTGTTTGTGCCATTGTTGTGTCGTGTTTGTGTCATTGTTGTGTCGTGCACGTGTCATTGTTGTGTCGTGTTTGTGTCATTGTTGTGTCGTGTTTGTGTCATTGTTGTGTCGTGTTTGTGTCATTGTTGTGTCGTGTTTGTGCCATTGTTGTGTCGTGTTTGTGTCATTGTTGTGTCGTGTTTGTGTCATTGTTGTGTCGTGTTTGTGCCATTGTTGTGTCGTGTTTGTGTCATTGTTGTGTCGTGTTTGTGTCATTGTTGTGTCGTGTTTTTGCCATTGTTGTGTCGTGTTTGTGTCATTGTTGTGTCGTGTTTGTGCCATTGTTGTGTCGTGTTTGTATCATTGTTGTGTCGTGTTTGTATCATTGTTGTGTCGTGTTTGTGTCATTGTTGTGTCGTGCTTGTGTAATTGTTGTGTCGTGATTGTGTCATTGTTGTGTCGTGTTTGTTTCATTGTTGTGTCGTGTTTGTGTCATTGTTGTGTCGTGTTTGTGTCATTGTTGTGTCGTGTTTGTGCCATTGTTGTGTCGTGTTTGTGTCATTGTTGTGTCGTGTTTGTGCCATTGTTGTGTCGTGTTTGTGTCATTGTTGTGTCGTGTTTGTGTCATTGTTGTGTCGTGTTTGTGTCATTGTTGTGTCGTGCCGGTTCCGTCTGCTTCCACTCCTGCTTCTCTGTTGTTTCCCCACGCCTAACGACTCCCACACCGTTTGAGGCACGATTGCCATAAATGACGCGATATAAACACACGTGAAAATTTGCATTATTGTAGAACATGCTTCAAGCTACCAGATGAAAACAAAATACATACAATTGTGATGCCAAATAATTATACAAATAGAGACAATGCCGTTAACAATAAACGTGTCTCCAGCGATGTTTTCCTGCAATTGTTCCTCTTCAAAAGCAGAGAGAACGAGGGTGCAGAGATCACATCGGAGTTGGACATTAAACTTGTTTTACCCTGGGGTGGGAAAAAAAAAACACGAGATTGTCCTCTCCCGTCTTAAGAAAGGCCATTTTCTCAAAATTTCAGCCGCTTGTATTGGTCATAAGACCAACTGTCAGCAAAATATGTACTGTAAGCTGTTTGTCAAGAGTGTAAAATAATCATATATTTTTATAATCATTGCCACCACCACCACCACGCATTTCATGCACAGGCTTTAACCCTCTCTAGGGGGTCCTGACAGCTTCCCCTGGATTTTCTGCCTTTTATAATCCACAGCTGACCATCCGTCGTGCATTCGCAAGACGCCGAGGGAGACCAAGCATGCATGTCCTGCCTTCGCTCACTCGAGATGTACTGCTTGTGGCCGCCGCCACTTGGATGCTAAATAAATAAATAAAGTACACCTTCGTGAGTCCAGAAATGTCTCTTGAATCAACGACTTCACTTATTTAAATGTTCAGTATTTCCTCAATTGTGGAACTTTTAAGTAAAAACCCTCGTCTGCTAAAGCGTCTAAGTTGTCGCGTTTCTCATTCCATTGGCAGGTACCACAACAACCTTTGGGGTTATTTCAGATCCTGAACGTTCATTCATCTCCCACATCTGTAAGAAACTCCGATGTGCACCTGCGAGACACCGCCCACACACACGGAATTGTCTGGCTCCATTGGCCGCTGAGACCCGAATCCCTCACTCCGCCTTCAATCCCTGTCGCCTGGACCACTGCAACTCACTCTTCTCCGCTCCCCCAATTCCCCGCATGTCAACGTTACGAATGATTCAGAATACCGCTGCAAGGTTCCTCACCCGTACGCGAAAACGTGATCACATCACTCCAGTGCTCCGATCTCTCCACTGCTACGGCGTCAAGTCTCCAATTTGCTTATAAGGTTACAATGATTGTTCTGTTTTTTTTTATTCCCCAAGGTCTTGCACCCCTGCCTCCTACCTCTCATCTCGCTCTACTCTCGGGCCACGTTGCCTCCGCTCCAATAGCAATGAAGGCCTCCTCCACCTTCGGACACGGCCACCTACACTCATCGACTTTGGTTGCACGGGAGGAGGTCACTCCTTCTCCGCTTCTGCTCCTCAGGGTCTGGAATTGTCTTCACCCTCTTGAACGCCGTGCGGTTGAGACGCTGATGCGACCCGAGTTCAAATCAAGACTCAAGATCCCGTTTGTTTACATCTGCATGGAGATAATTCCCTTTTTGCGACGCGTCCGGAGATTGCCGTTAAATTTAGATGCTATATAAATGTAAATTTTTATTGTAGCTCCCCAACACTGTGCTATGTATTCCCACATGCGTGCATCTGTAACGAATGGTCGCATGCACGAAAACGCAATTATGCTCCACATGACCGTAAACATCCACACAACGCATTATCTCTAGCAAGGTCAAGAGGTCATCACGGCCACCAACAGCGCGGATGCCACCACAGTGAGCGCCAATGCCCCTCCCCCCCTGCGAGATCCCCGCAGCTGGCAGCTGGGGCATGCCAGACCGCCGCAGAGCCCTCTCAGAGCACAGTCACCCCGGTACCTCGTTCAGAAGGGGAGGTTGGAGCGATAATTGTGGGCCAGCTCTGACAACTCGCCCCTGGGTTCGAGAGACGGATGGTGCCCTCTATGATCCATATTGGGTCGACTGTGGGTTAGACCAGGGGGGTCGCCAACCCGCGGGCTCCGGAGTCGCTCGTCATGTTCTTTTAGTTGCTGATCCCCTGGGTTAGATCGTCGGGTAAAAAAATGTGCGCCGTCAACCCTCCTCTACCCGGCAGAGCCAATTGATAGAAGTGTCCCGTGAATCAACCGCGCCAGATTTTTGACTGCTTCAGGAATCTTAACAACATGTAATTAAGGGCCGAAATCAGGAGGCTTTCTGGACAACTCTGGCTGTCGCCTGATGAGGCTGGTTGTAATTATCGGCGCAAACGTCACGGTAACCGGCATTGTAAATGTCGTGGGTTTTACTCTCCAACACACAACCGGTAGCTGAGCGAGTAACCCATTGGCGCGTTCTGTTTACGTGGCAAACCTTACTCATTGACTGTCAGATGGTGGCGGGTTTAACGACGCGTTTATATTTACGCGATTTAACCCACACACAAAAAAACTCTGTTCTGGATGTAATGGTTGTGTAGATTTCTCTCCAACAACAACAGCAGCAGTGGTGGTGCTGCTGCTGCAGCTCAAGCAGTGTAATAAATGTGGCGTGTTTCATTCGCGTGGCACTTTTATTAATTGCCTCTGTCATGGGTGTGATGATGTGAAGGGTGCGGGTGAGCGAGCAGGACCCCGGTGAGTCACATCACTCACTACTCATGTTAGCCGGGGGGGGGGGCGGAACGATTCTTAGCAGAGGGCCGCTCACCACCAATTGCGCTCACCACTCTACCACCGCTCTCCTTCGTCTTGTGGATGTAGTTAATGTGTCTATCCTCCTCGGTTTTGTAATTATGCGAAGTATGCCGAACATCACCACACAGCCGGAAAGGGCTCTTCCCAAATCATCCCGGGCCTGGTGGAGAGGCTGCACAATTTATAATGAATTCAATTTTCTCAGTCCGGGCCTGATAAGAGATGTTATTTCGCTGATGCTATGCACAGGGTGACTGGTTATGCACGCTGTGGAGATAAATGTCTGAATTGACGGCATATTTATTTTTTTCTCGTGATACGCCACTGATTGTAGGATGGGAATAAAAATTGTCGCGGGGTGAAATAAAAAATAAATCCTCCAAATGTAATGCACCTGAAGAAAAACCCGTCGTGTTCAATCAGGGCACAAAGTTAGCAATGACACGGATCGCGAGCGCGGATCTTAACGAAGGAAATGCAACGAAATCTGAAAGCTAAGCAATGAAGCGTGGGGAGAGAGAGAGAGGGAGGAATCTTGGACATTACACTCAAGAGACAGGAAGCTGATTGCACGCATGGCTTACGGAACAAATGCGAGTCAGAAACACCAACCGATACAAGAGGCCCGTCACTCCGCATTTATTAATGCGACATCGAAGGCCTACACGGAGTGAAATATGACGTCTTGTCAAATGAACTCAATCGTCAAAATAAGTCGGCGTGTGCGTGGGCGCCCAGGACGCGGCTCGTGGAGCACGGCGCGTCCGTGCCTCGCTCGGGCTGTCGGTCACGGTTCACGCGAGCGGCTTGGCCGCACGCCACGGACCCTGAAGCACCGCCAACACCACCACCACCACCAACATCACCACCAACATCACCACCACCACCACCACCATCACCACCACCACCACCATCACCACCACCATCACCACCACCAACATCACCACCACCACCACCAACATCACCACCAACATCACCACCAACATCACCACCACCAACATCACCAACATCACCACCACCACCACCAGCACCACCATCACCACCATCACCACCACCACCACCACCAGCACCACCACCACCAGCACCACCATCACCACCGCCACCATCACCACCACCAACATCACCACCACCAACATCACCACCACCACCACCAACATCACCACCAACATCACCACCACCAACATCACCAACATCACCACCACCACCACCATCACCACCACCACCACCAGCACCACCATCACCACCACCACCATCACCACCACCATCACCAGCACCACCACCATCACCACCACCAACATCACCACCACCAACATCACCACCACCACCAGCACCACCATCACCACCACCAACATCACCATCACCACCAGCACCACCACCAGCACCAGCACCACCACCACCATCACCACCACCACCATCACCACCACCATCACCACCACCACCATCACCACCACCACCAGCACCACCACCAGCACCACCACCAACATCACCACCAACATCACCAGCACCACCACCACCATCACCACCACCACCAACATCACCACCACCAACATCACCACCACCACCAGCACCACCACCACCACCAGCACCACCACCAACATCACCACCACCAACATCACCACCACCAACATCACCACCACCACCACCATCACCACCACCAACATCACCACCACCAACATCACCACCACCAACATCACCACCACCACCAGCACCACCACCAACATCACCACCACCACCACCAGCACCACCACCAACATCACCACCACCACCACCACCAGCACCACCACCAGCACCACCACCACCAGCACCACCACCGCCACCACCAGCACCACCACCACCAACACCACCACCACCGCCAACATCACCACCACCACCACCAGCACCAGCACCACCACCACCAGCACCACCACCACCAGCACCAGCACCACCGCCACCACCAGCACCACCAACACCACCACCGCCAACATCACCACCACCAGCACCACCATCAGCACCACCAGCACCAGCACCACCAGCACCAGCACCACCAGCACCACCACCACCAGCAACACCACCACCAGAACCACTACCGCCACCACCACCGCCACCACCACCAGCATCACCACCACCACCAGCAACACCACCGCCACCACCAGCACCACCACCAGCATCACCGCCACCACCGCCAGCAACACCACCGCCACCACCAGCACCACCACCACCGCCACCACCACCAGCATCACCGCCACCACCACCAGCATCACCGCCACCACCACCACCACCACCGCCACCACCAGCACCACCACCACCACCAGCACCAGCACCACCACCGCCACCACCAGCACCACCACCGCCACCACCACCACCGCCACCACCGCCACCACCACCGCCACCACCAGCACCACCACCGCCACCACCAGCACCACCACCACCACCAGAACCACCACCAGCACAACCACCAGCACCACCGCCAGAACCACCACCACCAGCACAACCACCAGCACCACCGCCAGAACCACCACCACCACCAGCACAACCACCAGCACCACCGCCACCACCGCCACCACCAGCACCACCACCAGCACCACCACCAGCAGCACCACCAGAACCACCAGCACAACCACCAGCACCACCGCCAGAGCCACCACTACCGCGGCACAGCGCGCGGCTCGCAATCCGAGGGTCGCGTGTCCCAGCGCCTGTGCAGGGGCTGACTCAGCCTCCGTCATTCTTTCGGAGTCTATAAAGTAAGCGCCGCTTTGTGGGGACGTTCACGTTGGTTGCCCTACTCAGTCTCGCCTCTGCCACAGGAAGGTGAACTTTTGAGTAAAACCAAACTCTGACAGGAGAGTCCTCAAAGGGTGGCGCCCATTGTGTCCGTTGTCAATCGACGAGCGGCTGCTCGTCAATCAAGGGGCCAGTTTGGTTTTTTTGCGCTCACTGCAGAGAAGCAATTATCACTCCCCACGCTGCTACTTTTGTGTTGTTGATAATGATGGCGGTGGTGGCGGTGGTAGCAGCGTTGGTGATAGTGGTGGTGGTGGCGGTGGTGGCAGTGGTGGTGG